GTTTACTGTTAGTCTTTTCCTCATGCTCTTCCTTCCTGTTCTATTCTTAGTGGCTCTCTTTATATCAAAGAAGACATTTTGCTTTTAACTTTATAATTTCTCTCTCTCTCTCTCTCTCTTTTGTAATTTCTGTATCTTTGTTGATAATCTCTCCAGTGACTCATCATGATACATTCTTCAGGTTTCTTTTAGATCTCTGAACAGGCTTATAATAGCTGATTTAAAGTCTGACTACTAAGTTCAAAATTTGGATCTCTTTAGAAATATACTAGTTACTGCTTTTTTATTTGCGTATGGCATAATTTCCTGTCTCTTTGCATGCCCCATCGTTTTTGATGAAAATTGGACATTTTTGATAATATATTGTAACAACTCTGCTATCGACAGAGGGCAACATTAGCCTTCCAACATTTGTTGTTTTTGTTGTTGCTGTATTTCTTCTTGGGAGTCTTTCCTTGACTAATTCAATAGTATGTTTCCTGCAGTATGTGGTCATTGAGTCCTGTGCTAGTATTCTTGAAATTTTAAGATCTTGTTTTTATTTTTAACATGGTTTTCTAGGTAACCTGAGCCTGTATAATTTAGTAGTCAGCCAACAATTAGTGAGTTTTCCATAAATTGCTTGCTTGTAAATTTTCCATTTTTGCCAAATGGATCTTTGTGAGAAAACACACCTTTGTATTTCAGGCAGTTTAAAAGACAGCCTTATTTTATACTTTTTCCTTGCACAGGGTTTCCCAAGGTCATTGAAAGATCAAAGGTGATTTCTCCTTTCACATGTCTTCCTTGGACAGAGCATGCATGCAGATTTTTAGATTCCCTAGGAATGTGTTGGTGCTTTTCAAAGTTCCTTATGGTTGTCTGTTTCTCCGAGATTTCCTCATAATTCTCAGGCCCTTGTTTGCCCCAGCTAACATCATAATGTTCAGCAGCTGAGATACTGCTAGGAATTTGCCATTGTTTTGATAATGTCCTGTCCCCCAACCCTCATCCTCCAGCTGTGCTGAAGTCTCTTATTAGAGTCTAAGATCCATATCATTGAAAGTATTGTTCCAGTGAATTGCAAGTTTAGAAAAATTTTAACTGTGCTTTGGTGCTTTAACAAAGCACCAGAAGACATCTGATCTCTTCATTACCTACAATCCTACTGGCTTTTGGCTACTTTATTCATGGGTTGGCAAGAGTGATGGAATGGGAACCATTCCAAGTTACATCAAATGTTGTCTCAACAAGGTTCAGATGTTTCTCTTAGATCATGGTTTTCAGTTTATGCTATCGTTTTGATTAATTACCAGAGTTCTGAAATGGTTATTTTGTAGTTGTTTTCCCTACATTTTTGTTGTTTTAGAGAATAGGCAGTTTACCAAGGTCCTTCTTCACCATTCTAGAACATGATCTCTCATGGTCATCATCTTTTCATATAACACAGTGCGGGATTCGGTTTTCTGCTATTTAGAATTTTTGCAAACATAAGTGATAATTAGTGAATATTTTTTTCTGTCCTTTTGAATAGCTAGTATGTTTCTTGATGATTTTTAATTATGCCGTAGAGAGAGAATTCTGCATTCTTTTGTGTCAGACTTCTCATACCTGTTTTAACTTTACTGATCCTCTTTCCAAAGACATCAGTTCCCAGCTTTTTCTTCAGTTAATATGCTTGCATCTTCTTTAATCTTTATTAGTGTGCATAATGATCTTTTGTCTGTGCTTTTTAGTGCATTTTCCCCAATGCCTATCACATAGTATATTTCAAATACATATTTCTTGAGTTGAATAAACATCATTATCTACAGATATTTCTGTGATATTTCCAGTTATTACTTTTTTTGCTCGCATCTTAGCAGGAACTCAGTTGGGATTGTTTTAATGAATCTTAACACTTTCACAAATATATGTTTAGTGCATTGAATTAGAATTTAGATTCTTTTCACTAGTACCATGTTATCATAATAATATATTTTTATATACCTTCTGTTCTAATACTTTTTGTTTTCTAGGCCACGGACATAGTCATTCCCTCTTTAATGGTGCTCTAGATCCAGCACATGGCCATGGAGAACATTGCCATAGTCATGAAGTGAAGCATGGTGCTGCACATAGCCATGATCATGCTCATGGACATGGACACTTTCATTCTCATGGTGAGTATAGCAGAAACATTTTTAAGTAGATAGCCTTCTAAGTAATCAAGATTTATATATATTTATATATAGTCAACTTCTTTTTTGATAAATCAGTCCCAATGGTTCTAAAATAAGTTCATTTCTAATATACATGAAAGTAATTTGGTGTAAGGCAGTGAGTATAGTTTTTTTTTTTTCCAGTTTGTATGTTTTAAGATGCCTTGATTTTAATTAAGTATCAATGAATGAGAAACAATTGCAATTTAGCAAATGAAAATCTTTGATTTTTTAAAAGTATCATGAGGCTTTTTGTGCTATATAGTCCTATAAAATACTATAAATATTTTCAATTTTTCACATTTTTATTTTATTTTATTGCTGTTTATTACCTGATATTTACCTCCATCTTTCTTTAGTGCTCTGTATACTACTTTTTATATCATTTAGATAATAAGTTTCAGGGTACTTCTCGACTTAATATGTAGTTAGTTAAATTATATTTTTAAAAGTTTATGAATTTTAGAATATCAATCATTAAAAGCTATTGACACAATTCAATTAATCTTTAAATAGATTATATGTTCAAATAGTATTTGCCTGCAGATAGAGTCAAAAGTTTAGATTTGAAAATTTGAGAGGTACCTTGGAGCGTGAGCATCGAATTTTGCAGTCTTTAAATATTTTGAATACTTTCTTGAGATATGATTGACATACAAAAAGGTATTCATATGTAGTATATATAACTTGATGAGTTTGGATATAAGTATACACCTGTGAAACCATCACCATGGTTTAAACCATAAATATATCCATCACAACCAAAGTTTCTTCCTGCACCCTTTATTCTTTTAATCATTTTTTAAAAATTTATTGTGATAAGAACACAACATAAAATCTACCATCTTAGCTGGGCATGGTGGCTCCTGCCTATAATCCTATCAACTTGAGGCTGAGGTAGGAGGATTGCAATTTCAAAGCCAACCTCCAAAATTTAGAAAGGCCCTAAGTTTAGACTTAACTTAGTAAGACTGTGTCTCAAGATAAAAAGTAAAAAGGGTTGTGGATGTGGCTCAGTGGTTAAGTACCCCTGGGTTCAATCCCCACTACCAAAAACAAACAAAACAACAACAACAAAACTATCTTGTTGGCAAAATTTTAAGTATACAATACAGTATTAACTTTAAATGCTATATTATGCTATACAGCTCTCCAGAACTTATCTAGAAAGTTTGTAAAGGTTCTAACTGAAACTTCATACCCTTGGACTATTCTCCATCTCCACCTCCCTCCAGCCCCTAGTAACCATAATACTACTGTTTCTATGAGTTTGACTATTTTAGATTCCTCATTTTAGTGTTATCATATAGTGCAGGTCATTCTGTATCTGGTGTATTCATTTAACATATCATACTCCAGGTTCATCCATGTTGTCCCAGATGGCAGGATTTCTTTTTTCCTTTTTTCTTTTAATATCCTATTGTGTATATACCTGTTTTTCTTTATCCATTTGTTTTAGTAGTTTTTTGTTTTGTTTTGTTTTGTTTTTTTGTTTT